CGGACCAGCCGGTAAGTGAAGACTAGGCCTTAGATTCCTCAGCTTTCCCCCATATTGTGTTTTTACCAGAGAGCCTCTCCAGGGCTCTTCATGTTTTTGCTGCCCATCTCTGAGCCTGTGAACTTCTGCTGCATCTTTTCAGAGCCCGGGTGCTCTGTGGCAGGGTGCCATGCAGCAGGTATGGGATGTGTGGACTGTCTCATGCAGAGGGGTTGGCTGCATGCTGGATGTGTGATGGGGTGTTCCAGATATCAGATAATCACATGCAGAGAATCGGAAAGGTGCCACATGAAGCGTAGTGCCACGGTGATCATACGCAGGAGCGCATCACATGGAGCGGAAGTAATGAGATGTCACATCATTGGTATGGAAGGGAATTCTACCAGACTAACCAGATCTGACACCACTTGGGCTAGTGCCTGAGCTCCGGGTGAGGAGTCCGGGGGCTGGGATTCTAATCCCAGTTCTACCAGCCACTTGCTGAGTGACCGGGGCAAATCACATCCCCTCTCTGGGCTCCTGGTTTCCATCCCTTTTCAAACTGTGAAGAGGCTCGAGTTAGTGATAGACGAGAATCGACACCCGAGGTGAAATGCGGAACATGTAGCAAGCAGGCCAAGGGTAAAAGAAGGTTGAAATAAAGAAGCCTTTTGCTAGTCACTCCCTGACCTCTTTGCATGTGTGCGGGATCTTTGCTCTCCCCTCGCCTGCTTGTTGTATATTTGGCCTAAGCTCTGTGGGGCAGGGCTCATGCTTTACTCTGTGTTTGTATCACACCCATCCGGATGGGTAGGTCTAGGTGCTGCCTCAAACATAAATGACAATCTGCATAGTGAGGATGTTGCCTTACCCCTCTCCTGGGCCGTGCAGGTGGATAGCTACTGTTTGTAGAGCCCTGGAGTACGCCACCATGGAATTGCTGACTCCTAGCCAGTCGCTGCTGTTAACTCCTGCTTGTCAGCCCACTGACCTTGTACTTTCCAGGACTGACTCTAAGGTTGCTCCCCAGCCTTTCTGCAACTCTCCTTTCTGATGCTCCTCCTGCACCCTCATTAGATCCCCTAGAATTCCCTTCCTCAAGGCTGAGAGAGACCAAAGCTGATTCCTTTCCCCTCACCCCAGCCCAAACCTGGCTGTCCCCTGCCCTGCCGTCTCAACCTCAGCTCTGTACTTCCGAGAAAGAGGTGACCAGAGCTGCAGACAGCATTCTAACTAGAGGCTTATTGAGGCCATACTAGCTTGTCCTGATTTGCACTCCACACCTATTGCAAAGCCATGTAAGTTATATCACCACGGGGTAGTTCTCCTTTCCTTTTACTGCTGTTAAACAACGTGCAGACGGAGTCAGTGACTGCCAGAGCCTGCATTCTCCAGTGCACTGCCATGTGAAGGGTGTTTTCACCCCAGGTTCTGTGTATCGAATGGTGTGAGTCTGAGACCCGAAAGCCTCATCCTCCTCTCCGTTCCCCACCCATCCCGCAATGCTGTGTTACAACAAGAGCCTGGCATAGTCAGTAGGAAAGTGCTAGCCAGGGCCCTAGGCCCAGGCCGTGAGGAGACATGCTCCCTGCTGGGCACAGGTTGGGTTGCTGGCTGTGCCGGAGCTCAGACAGGATATTGCTGTCACTCTGGTGGTTTGGGGCACATGGTTGTGAGGTTTCTGGGCACTCTTGTCAGGCTGATCTTGAGTGTACAATGCAGGGAGAGCTGCTGGTGACCAGGGGGGAGAACAGGAGACAGCTGACAAGTAGAATCACACCACATGGTCTCATTGCTACAGCCACATGCTGTTAAAGGGCCCAACCAATCTGGGGTGCTTGGGAGCAGCACCTGCTGGGAATGCGGAGTGTGGACAAGGCAGGGCTTCTGCGCATAGGAGAGAAATCGCTCAAGAAGAGGACTGCACTTATGTACACACCACCGCTGTAGACAGGGAGTGACTTCAGGTGCCTGCTGAGATGTTTGCTGTGGGGTGTTTAGATGTGACAGAATCACAGTGACCTGAAGAGCTGAGAACAATTTCACAACAATGTCTTATCAGAGAGGAGAGGTCTGGGTTTATCTGCCAGCTGGAATTGTGCTGAGGCATCAGGAAAGTCTGCAGTGATTCTGCATAGTACACGATGGGGGCAGTAGCTGCGAGAGACAGACTGCACAAGCTTTGGGGGTTCACTGCTGGAAGAGTTAGTGAGGGGCACTGTCATCTCACCTACATTCCTGACTTCTCTTGCAGGAGGGATTTAATTGGTGTATTTTTGTTACTCAGAGTAGTGACACCTATTCCCTAAGAGATGCAGGGAGCCTGTGAATGTCAGAATCCCCTTTCCCCATTTTTCTTTTTCCTACAGGTCTTAGTTCTCCCACCTTATATGAAAGCCAGAGAGATAGCTTTGCTAGCTGGTACCCGGATTTCCCTGTGCAGCTGCTACGTGATTCTGTCCACTAGGGGGCAGTGCTGCACTGTCAAAGTGAGCCGACCTGGGAAGCCAGCTGCAGGTTTCCTAGACAGAATACAAAATTGTGTTTTCAGCCTTTCAATAAAAATATTGAAAATAAAAGTCTGAGATTATAAATCACAGACACTTCAAGACTAAAGAGATTAGCCCCTTTATGCAGTGCTCATAATTATTTGAACAACTGTCTTTGTTTAGCAGCTGTGATGTTGTTAAGGGCCTGGGTCAGAGAATCTGAAAAGCGGAATGGAATAATATTTTACCTTAGGTGTTACGCCGCTATTTGATTTAATTTTTGCTTAAGGGGAAAGCGCTGCCTTGGCGGCTTCCTTGAAACATGCTGTCCTTTGCTGTCAGGAAGGCAGCCACACTTGGACTGATCTTTAAGAAGTGCATAGTATAGTCGCGTATATCAGCCATCAGGAAACATCACATCAGCTCCAGTCTGAGCCTCACAGGAGCTGGAGAGCCATTTGCACCTGCAATGCTGATGACAGACAATAGGCTACAAGGAGTCTCCAGAAGAGAAGAATGAGGGGGGATTTGATAGCAGCCTTCAACTACCTGAAGGGGGGTTCCAAAGAGGATGGAGTTCGGCTGTTCTCAGTGGTGGCAGATGACAGAACAAGGAGCAATGGTCTCAAGTTGCAGTGGGGGAGGTCCAGGTTGGATATCAGGAAAAACTATTTCACTAGGAGGGTGGTGAAGCACTGGAAAGCGTTACCTAGGGAGGTGGTGGAGTCTCCTTCCTTGGAGGTTTTTAAGGCCCGGCTTGACAAAGCCCTGGCTGGGATGATTTAGCTGGGAATTGGTCCTGCTTTGAGCAGGGGGTTGGACTAGATGACCTCTTGAGGTCCCTTCCAACTCTGATATTCTATGATTCTATGATTCTAGGAGCAGCAGTGTGGCCTGCTGAGGTTCCAGCTTGCTGGAGTCACTGCAACCCGACCTGAGCATCAACTCTGGAGTGGGTTCTCTGGCTCTGCGGCAGTCTGTTCAGCTAGAGCGTGACAGCCCTGGCAACACCCACCTGTGCCTCTCTAACACTTTTCAGTTGCTGTGGTATCTAGGTGCTGCTCAGATGCTTGGAGCTGCCTCCAAGCTTCTGGTTTGCCCCTGGTTGAGATACTTGTGGTGAGGTGAGTGCAGACTCAGGAGTGATTAGGCAGGGGTGGGAAGGTGATTTCTGGCAAGCTGTCTCTCTGATGCACAGTAATGGTAAGAATTCTCTGAGATTTCCCAAGACCCAAACAGCATTTCTGGGGAGCTGCCCAAGCAGCCAGCACTGCCACCATCAGGGCTTGTGGGAAGATGTCAATG